TTTAGGAACTATAGAAGGAAATTTAGCATATCAAAGATTAATATTTACTTGTTATCCAAAATATTGTGTCTCATTGAAAGATAAAAACTTTAATGAAATCTTAGGATTACATTTCAAATTACATAAAAATGATATAATGGAACCATGAGACCAATTATGACTATGGAATATAGGGCATTATATACATTTACTAATTCTAATTATGGGAATATTTATTCCAATAAACCATACATAGAAATTCATAAGGAATGTAAGGATATTAGTAAAATAGTGGAACCAAACAAACAAATAAATCTTATTCCAGAAGAATATGAATTTAATATAACTAAAAATAAACCTGAAATAACAGAGTTAAGAGAAGAAGATGATTATAAAATAACATTTCATAATGAAAGATTGATAAAGAAATCAAAAAGTCTTAGACTACCTAATAAAAAAGAATATTTAGGAGAAACTAGTGGTATAAAAAAAATAAAACCTCATGGAAATATTGAAAATAGAAGGAAAATATTTCAACGGTAGGAGGTATATAAAATGACCAAATATATTGATAGATACAAGAGTTGGTAAATATCATATGGCTGCAACTAAAAATGAAGGATTAATGACTTGCAAGATAGAACCATATGAATACAGGAATTTTGATGGACAACTATATATTACAAAATTAAAAATAAAGGTACCAATAAAAATAGGTGGGATTGATCTTTTAATACTGTGTTATTTAGATGAAAGTATGGATATTGAACCTCATATATTATTAGGAATGAGTTTCTTAAATGGATTAGAAGATTATATTATAAAAAGAGAATGATTATATATAACTCATAAAGGACAAACTACATTCTGTAAAATAGGAAGTGGATGAATAATCAAATAAGTTTTCCATTAACAGTATATATACAAGTTACTATAGTAGAAACAAATATAACAACTTGTACCTTAATTGATACAAGAAGTGATATAACAATTTTTAAAAATTTCTTAATAAAATCATGAAATAAAAATAGTAAAATAAAAATAACAAGAGTGGCTGGAGAAAGCACTCAAATAATTGATAATGCTGAAAAAGTTAATATAATATTTGGTAGTAAACAAGTTATAATAAATAAAGTATACAATTATAATAACCTAGAATGTGATATATTATTAGGGAATGACTTCATCCAACAATTTCAATATTATAAACAAAATAATTACATGATAATGTTACAAACACCTTGTGCACATCTATTAAAAATACCAAGAGAATTTAGACCCTACAGAGTTCAGCCAACCCAGCGTGGTGATAAACGGGAAAAACGACCAATAATACAAGATGAACTAAAAAATAAAAAACCATCATATAAAAAAATCCTAAAAACAGAAATAGAGATAAGTATGGAAAAAATCATAGAACAATTAGAAAAAATTTATGGAGAAAACCCATTATTATTTTGGAAACCATTTCATTCTAGAGCTAAAATAGAATTAACAGAAAATGTTATAATAAGAGTTAGACCAATGGTGTATACCTTACAAGATATGTAAGAATTTAAAATTCAAATAAAAGAACTATTAGAACAAAAGTTAATTAGATTCAGTAATGGACCTCATAGTAGTCCAATTTTTATGGTTATGAAATATTCTGAGCATATTAGAGGAAAAGTTAGAATGGTAATAAATTATAAGAAATTAAATAAATATACTAAATTTGATGATTACTTTTTACTAAATAAAGAAGTCCAAATAAACCATGCAAAAGGAAAACAATATTATTCAAAATTTGATTGTAAATCAGAATTTTGGCAAATAAAAATGGAAGAAGACAGTATACAATATACAGCTTTTAGTACACCTCAAGGAAAATACGAATTGTTAGTTATGCCATTTTGTTTTAAAAAATGCACCTCAAATATTTCAAAGAAAAATGGATAATATATTCAAAAAGTTTAGTGATTTTCTTATTGTTTATATAGATGATATACTAATATGCTCTAATAATAAAAAAGAACATAAGAATCATTTATTACAATTTATAAATGAATGCAAAAACGAAGGAATTGTACTTTCTAGAAATAAATCTATAATCGAGAAACAATAAATAGATTTTCTGGGATTATCAATAGATAGAAAATAAATAAAATTATAGACTCATATATTTAAAAAGATAGAAAACTTTCCAAATGAATTAAAATCCAAAAAACAAATACAAAAATTTTTAGGATGTTTAAACTATGTTGAAAGATTTATTGAAAATCTCTAAAAAAAGAGACATAAGATACAAATTCTACTTAGGAAAACAAATACTAAAGGTTGGAATAAAGAACATACTGAAATTGTTAAATCATTAAAAGAAGAATGTAAAAATTTACCAAAATTAAGGTTACCAGATGAAAAAGATAATCTAATTGTTAATATTGATGCCTCGGAAAAATATTGGGCAGCTATATTAAAATGAAATATGCAGATATTTAAGTGAAACTTTTAACCAAACAGAAATAAATTATACTACTCATGAAAAAGAATTGTTAGCAATTATTAGAGGAATAAAAAAGTTTTCATTATTCCTTTTATCTAAAAAATTTATTGTTGAAACTGATAATTCTCAAGTGCAGGACTTATTAGAAATAAGTTGCCTATGGAACCTCAATATAGAAGGCTACACAGATGACAAGCATATTTATCATTCTACAATTTTGATATTGTTCATATTAAAGAAATAAATAATCATCTTGCAGATTTTTTGAGCAGGAATATCGAATTCGGAGATGGATAATGTCAAAAATTCATTAATAGACGTCAAAAGACGAATGGAATTCCTCATGGAGGAATCAGAAGATATGAAAATTGGAATTTAGCAACTAGAGCAAATGGCAGAATCTATCCAACAAAATGTCAAATTGCTGGTGAAAATCTCTAATTCTCATTTCAAATATACCAAAGAATTGAATGATAGAATTGATGATATTACTTCACAATTCGAGTCATTAAATACCAAATAGGAAATACCAATAGATACAATCTCAAAAATACAAACAGGTACGCAGCCAGGAAGCAGCAGTGGACTCAGCAATATCAAATGAGACATAGCAAGTCCCCGGAAGGTGACTATAAAAAATGGTGATGAATATACAAAAGTTATCAAGATCAAAACTGATGAAGATGATGATACCCCTTTATCATCAAAAGAAGAAGAATATAAATCATTTGGCAAAATTGTTTATGAATTGGAAGAAAATGAATCATATTTTATTGTATCAGGAGATCATGTTTATCCCAGATTAATAATTACCAAAGATGCAGACCCTTTCATGGTCAAAATGGCAGCAAATTATGGATTTCTGAATTTGATCTATCCAGGAAAAGATTTAAAAGAAATTGAAAAATTTGATGATATATTCAGGGCAGAAGTTTCAAAATTTGCCCAAGGGAGGTCGATTTATATCAAATTTTATTCAATAAGTCCCGAGGTTGATGGAAGGATATACTATCCTGCTGAATATATTATCACAATTGGACATGTTGGCCAAGATTTTCAGATTGAAGTTGGCCGAAATAATAGATCATTGCCTAAAATCAACAAATCATTGCCTAAAATCAACAAATCATGGATAAAATCCCGAAGAGTTTTGGGGATGAAAATTCTTTATAACATTGCAAAAAACTTATATGATAAAAAATTCAGATGCTTATGTCAATATGAAGGATGGATACTCCTTACGAATAATGGAAAAGAAAAATCTACTATTTTGAAAGAATATATCCAGAAATTTGATACTCATCAAATTAATGGAAGTCCTACAACAATCCAAGAATCATGTAGATTGAGGGAGTGCCCCACATGTAGACAAGACTAAAAAGATTGATAAAAGATGAATGGAAGGGGACCTACCACTACCAAAGTATCTAGCCAGCTGCAAATGGAGCCAAAGATGGAGAGACAATAATAGAGGAAAAGATGCCCCTTTGATGAAAAAATAAAAAATGCATGTGAAAATGTAGACCTCAGGAGGAAAAGAATGGAGAGGCATGTGAGCCTTTTCAAATTCTGATGTATGCAATGATGTAATAGACCAATAATAGCAAGTTTGAGTCATGTATAAATAGAGGTCTTTGGGGGAAAGAATGGATCATCTCGAGTTAGAAACCATTCTCTTTCCTTAAACTTTATTTAAAACCAGTTTTTCTGGAAACCCTTTGTATACAATAGAAATCTTGTATAAATCATTATAGAAATAAAATTCCAATCTTTTGATATCAGAAAAATATGAGTTTCTAAACTTCCTATCCCGTAGATTCTTGACAGATTGAAGAAGATAATTTATTTCTTACTTTAACAAAGAGAGAATTTTCTCTACTTAATTCTAAGAAAAGATACAGTGGGGCAAGAAGTTGAAATAGCAAAATTTCCATTAAGGCAAAAGGTCGTTTGAGTGAGCAGTTTGCATATTCAGAGCCCGAAGGTCACTCGACTCTAAGAATACAGATTTAAGATCAAAAGTAAGGTAAAATTATTGTCTTTCTTAAATTTAGAAAGAATTCTTCTAATATTTTGAAAGAATCATAGGGATTATTACTTATCATGTTTGTAAAAACTTATCTATCATGTTATTATTATCATAAAACTTGTAAGGAATTATCTATATGATGTCAGACTATACAATTAAAGGATTAAATAATTTGTTAGAAAGACTATTAAAAAAATAAAAAAATATTTTTTCTCAATTAGAGACTATGAATATATCATCTAAGGAATATGATAATCTTAAAAAATTATATGACAATTATGCTAATTTATTAGATCAAAGGATGAAACTATATATTAAAATTCGAAATAAGAGAAATAGAAAAATTTTGAAACTATTCCAATAAATTAGAATATTTTGTGCAAAATATGGCAAGCCATTTTAATTAAGGGTAATATAGATATTTTAGCGTGATAGGCCATTTACAAAAATCCCCCACCTGACGTCAATTGGAGCAAACCCGCGAGATCTAACTTACGGTTGAGGGAGGGAGGGAGGGAGAGGATCGTCTTCCGGTAATTAATCTCTTCTTTTATGCATTTTTTTTAATTATTGATAATTCATGGTTTCGTTATCTCGAATAATGGATAGTTTTTTATTTTTGGTTATAGTATGTTCAATACGTGAAATTGGTAATTAAATCGAATTAGCGGATTTTGATGACTGGATTTATCTAATTCTGTCAGGATTATACTGGGTTTCTTATTTACAAATTTTAAACAACAAAATTTTGAACTGTTGACTTATTTATGCGATGTGAGAAGTGAAAAGGACCATATTCATAGCTGTGAAGTGGTGTTAACGTGATTGTTTTATGAACAATGTTGATTTTGGAAATATTACTAGTTTGGATTAGTTTAGAGCCTAAAGTTTTATGCTTTCATTTTAAAATGGTACATATGTTACTCTGCTATTTTTTAATTTTTATTGATCTTCCTGAATCAGTAAGAGTTAACATCATTCTACTAGTTTGTAATACCAAACTGGGGATTGGGGAAGAGTATCATGCTGTATTTTTAATGCTATAGCAGCTAAAATGAAATTTTTCGGCAAATGTGATGCGCTCTCCTTGCAACTCATATCTGCAGCATTTGATTTCTGTGATGGGTTTAATTAGTATTGGTAACATATTTTGTCTTTATGAAATCATCGTGCGTGCTACATATTTGAACCTTGTGAAATAGACATCTGTACTGTTTTCTTCTGCAAGAGCTTGGTTTTCCATCAATAGAAATTTTTGTTAATTGATTTTAATGTAATTTATTACTCATAATTTAAGTTGTGGAGTTTTAGCTATTGATCCATTGATTTATATTCATTTTTAACCAATATGATATGCAAATTAGCGATTCCACATAAATTTCTTGTGTATGATTAATATGTGGATCGTGATCTCTGCAGATATCTTTCTTGCTTTATCAGACAGTAGCATTGTGGCTGTGATAAAAGTCCCATCTGTATATAATTACTAATTAATATGGTAAGCATCATTTTTATAATTTCTGCTGCTTTTTCTACTTTTGCCTAGTGGTAGCTGATTTCTGTTTCTGTACGATTTTATGTGATATTCTATATTGCATTTTCTTCCCTTCTGTTATAGTTACAGAAGTTTAGTGCATTGTGGAGATTGACATCTTTGACTAATTTTCTTAGTCCTTTTTGGGTATGTCTTCCTTACAGAGAGGAGAGATGCTATTATTTCAGACTTTTTTCTTAAAAAAAGTGCGTGCTTTTAGTACGGCAACTGAGAGCTAGCATATTAACTGTGCAGCTATTTAGTGTTGAGGATATTTGGTTTAATATTTTTCTTCACATTGCACCTCAATCATTATAGAGGAATTTCATTCTCCGGTTTCTTAATAAGACCATGATATTAATATGGAATATTCCTATTGTTAAAATGTGACTGATGTTCACATAAAGAATGGCAAAACAGACATCAGTTGTAGATTGAAAGACTTGTGCTTTCGTTTTCTAGCGTTATCAAGCTCCCGAGTCTCCTATATATGTCTTGCCTCTTCTAATTGATGTACATGCTGTTGCCATTGCTTTACATGACGCAGCTGAATTTAGAGTAGAGATGTATGTTGGGCCTGTGAAAGTACGAGTTACCTTATAAAATATCTTTATCGTGGAATAAATCCATTGAAATCCTTTTGCTTGAGAAATTTGGAGGGATATGAAATTAAGGTCTGGAAAGATCAGGAGAAAATAAGCAAAGTATTCGGATGACATGCTTTTGATATTTTCCTCATAGAGTAAACCAGAATAAGACATGACTGAGAAACAGGGAATGTGTATAGTTCTCAGTGGCAAGTTGCAGATTGATTTAGTAAAAATGAGTGAAACATACTGAATCATTAAAGATTACTTGTTATCAACATGCATCAGAATGCTTCACTCTAAATAGATCAATCAATCTAGCGTATTGTGTATTCCTACGAAGAACCAAAAGAAGTAATTTGAGGTACATTTTTTGCATCTCTTTAACTTCATGGAAACATTTCAACTTTTGTAAATAAGGCTTTGTCCTGGGTTTTATTAGTTCAGTAGTCAAAAAGGAAGTGGAGGTGGAAACAATGATGACAACTTTCTCCAGTTTCACCAATTTATTTCACCCAGATCAAGGAAGAATAGAATAACTGGACCGAAATGAGTTGTATTTTAAAATGTTGCTTTCAAACATCCATATCCTTTTCATGTAGATAAAGTAGAAAGTACATTATATTAGGAGGAGTAAAGCTGAAATTAGTATTCCTTTTCCATTTCTATGCTTATGTAACGAATTTTGTTTTGTTGTCTATTTGATGTTTATAGAGTGGCCAAGCTCGGGAATTTATTATTCTTGAATTGCAAACTGAATTGACACTAATTGTTGCAGGTCTATCACTCCAGTTTTGTTGATGAGGAAGGAATTACTAAATCGTGTGGGTGCCCTCTACTTCCCCTTAAAAGCCACATAAAAGGACCTGCTCCAGTTTCAGAACAAGGTCAACTTGCACCAAAGTGTGTAATTTTAAGAAAGATATACTATATTTTGTACTGTTAATGATATAAATTTTATGCAGATAGCACTGATGTTGTTGATGAAGCAATCACATTCTTTCGTGCAAATGTTTTCTTTAGAAACTTTGACATCCAGAGCTCAGCCGATAAGCTTCTCATTTACTTAACATTCTACATAAATATTGCATTAAAGAGGCTAGAAGGCTGTAGAACTTTGGCTGAAGGAACCAAAGCAATTATTAATCTTGGTCTGGAAGATGTTCCTGTACCTGGGGAGCCTGGATTCCCTTTCCCAGGACTATTTGCTCTTCCACAATCTAGAAAGGAAGCAGGTAAAGCTTCCAATTTTCTTGTTGGTTTTGTAATGCAATACTATTTGCTTTATAATCTTCCTTCGTCGTATTGAGGGATTGACAGTGTTTCAATAAGTGGAATATTTATCCAGCTCAAAACAATGATCAGCCCAAAGCTGTTTGGTGTGTACTTTGCAGTAATGGTCACCAGCATAGAATTCATATACCAACTGAGGATGCATAAACCACCTGAACTAAAAGACAGAAATTAGAGAAAATATCATAATATTTTAGGTCGTGTTTTCCAAGTGTGAGATAAATTGAGAATGCATACATAAACAGTTAAAACTCGAACTCGGTGATCCGATTGTCAACCTCTTCTTTCAGCATCCCGAATTATGATCAGCAATACGTAGTAAGGTAAGGATGTGGTTTTTAGATTTGTCCAGTTAAAATGTAATTTGCAATTCAGAAACTCTAAATGTAGATAAATTTATGTATGCAAAAATGGAAAAATAGTCTAAATTTTTTGAGATTTTAGAAATTTAGAAGTAAGACTGAAGTTTGACACTGCCAAAGGTCAAAAATAGAAAGAATATATAAGATATATTCTAATTGTGAGATATATGGTTGCAAGTTCGTGTTCTCCTGAAGTTGGTGATTTGCTTTGTGAATCTAATGCATTAATCCTCGAGTGACCAGATTAGAGATATTCCTAGGATTGAGCGTTGATTCAAATTGGGGTGGAGGTTTGCTTTGTGTTCAGCTTGACTTTACTCAAACCTCTCTATTGATTCAGGGTGCTGAAGTGAAGTTTAAAAAATGCTCTCATTCTATATTTTTGACCCCTTGTTTCATTTCCTCAAATTTTTATTAATATTGTCTTATAGCCAAAGTGCATGTTCAGATGTGACCCATTTTATTCAACGACTGAAATATGCAAAATAAGGATGTTAAATTTTGGACATCATTATACCATCGTAGTCAACTATTTTTCTGCTCTGCCTTATATTTATTTATCATTTATTATTTACTTATTTTGTTCGGTGTGGAGGTAGGGGTTGGTGGGGGTGGTACTGCAGTTAATTTGTTATTCTTGATAATTATACAGGGACTGTTGTGTTGCATTCTTGACTTCGTAAATTTCTTGATATACAGAGCTCTTCAGAAATTATTTGAAGCAAATTCGGGAAGAAACAAGTGGAAGATTATTGAGCGTGGCGTATCGACCCAATGGGACACCCAACAAATGGTGGTTGGCATTTGCAAAGAGGAAATTTATGAACATTATTGTACCTTGAAATATACATTTCAAAGATGGGCATCAATGGCTTAAACAACCTCTTCTCTAAATATAAGCCAAACCGTTCATGAACAGGATGATATGTTGATGTAAAATTGTTTCTTTTTTCTTTGTTTAATCTTTATGCTTCTTTAATTCTTGCAGTGTAGTTCAAAACATATATGGTTTTTAAGAAAATAATAATTCTTAGGCCTCATTTGTTTCCTATTTATGTAAGAATGAGAATGAAGCATATAGTCATTATGGATCCCACATAAGAGATAAAAATTCAAATATGATGACTTGATATAATGGATAACGGTCATATTTTTCATTTTAATGGAAAAAAATGGGAAACAAACAAGGGCTTAATTTTCAAGTAATTGTTACGATTTGGACTTCACAATAACTTTCATCGAGTGTATTTTTACACGACACTTTTCCTTTTTAACTCCACCCTTGTTAAAGCTAGGTCATGTGTAGGTCTCATTTGGCATGTTCAATCTCGTGTTCGGAAATGCTCTATGGGATTAAGCAAGAGAAAATATTTGTCTTGGCCAACCTCTCATTTTCTAAGAAAAATTTTGAGTCATTACACTATTCTCAACATGCTTTCTTGGAACAATTTGATACGCTAATTTAAAAAGCATGTGAGGGTGTAATTTTCACTTGATACAAAACAAGTTGGACCAACAAACTCTAAATAAGAAGTTCATGTTTGTCTATCACTATTTCAAATTTCCCCCCTCAAAACTCATTTTTAACTACAGAATCTTGTAATAAAATATTTTGAACATATATTCACAATTTTTCTTGCTTTTTAAACATATATTTTCCAAAAATTCATTATTTCAACATTCATTTTCGTCAAATAGTGATAGACAAACATGGGCTAAGTTGCAACATAATTGAAAAAAATCCTCTCTATTACTTTTTGTTTGGTAAATGTAAAATTTTATAGATCAAAACTTATGTATAAGTACACTAGGCATATTCAGACTTCAAAATGAAATGATGTACCAAATAGTCTAATGATCCATAGTTGAAGACATACGGAATACGGATACAAAGAAAGCATAACTTTGTATAGTGTGTTTTAATCCAAATAAAGTACACGGTCGTTGCTAGTGCTATACGCTTAGCTTTACTTTGCCAAGTCGTTCCTCGACCTTTTTTCATCCACTTTAAATGAGCTCAATAAAGTAGACATAATGAGTCTAATAGCCAATTAGCCACGAACATGCTCCCAAACCGCCTTGCTAATTGGACAGGAAAAAAATAGATGTTGTACTATTTCCTCCGTTTGGCCACAAAATGAGCAGTTTCAGTCAAGCTTAAGTGTTGTAACCTGTCTTTTGTTTGTAATCTGACTAGAACTCCTAACCACAAGATGAATGCATGCTTTGGGATGATAGAACTGTTCTAAACAGTAGGTGCCCAAGTTGTCTTAGGGGCTGTTTGAGCCCCATTATTTGTAAATTATAATGAGATGAATAGTATTTTTTTGAAAAATGAGTGGTTGAAAAGTTTTTAATTTATATGTAATATTATTTTATTGAAAATTGTGTGGTTTAAAGTAGGAGAGAGAAAAAATTAATTTAACGTAATAAGAAATAATGGGGCTCAAACGGGGGCTTAGCCCCTTTCGGCCTGAAAATTTCATAAGCTGTGGAATCTGCTATGCTACACTATTGCATTAACATCGTAGTTTAGAAGATTTATAATCACAAAGGCAGTTCTAGGGCGAGAGCAATAGGTATGTGTTTCGCGCGGGTTAGTCGCTAACAATTAAAAGGGATCAGACGATTGTGTAAGGGACAAACCTCTTGAGATAAAGTCCCAAAAAGGGGTGTTCTTTATTGGCGATAACTTTACAATTGGAAATTAAAAACAGAATGCCTCCAAGGGGCGTAAGCACACGAGTTACTGAAAAAAGTGTTTAAATCTAAGCTAAGGAATTTAAAATTACATGTTCTCTATTCGAGAGTTTTTGATTCGGTCCCTTTGCTCTATGTCTTTTCTTCCTTTTATACTCCCTGGATGATCTCTTTGTGATCAACCGCCTAAAAACTACTTGATCGTTCTACAACTGCTCACTTTTCTCGTAATGGCCAACTTGTCATGGAACTGCCTTTTTTTAACTGCTGCCATTACTCTTCGTCGTTCAACCGTTTTCGATTGAATTCCTTGAATCGTGGAACGTGATAGAGCTGCTTTAATAACTGCTTTGATAACTGCACTTCTTGATAACCACAACACTTTATGTTTGCTAAGACCTTGCGCGACTCGAAGTTTGGGCGAGAATAGAGTAACAGCTCTAGGCGACTGCATGGCACTCCATTCGCTCAGATTCTGGGCGACTTGCAAACTTGAGCGATGGTGTTACCGCGTTCTTGGGCCTTCATCTTGAATTGTTTGATTGGGCTTCGTTCTTTGGGCTATCTGATTTGGGGATCCTCCAATTGGGCTTCATTCCTTGGGCCGTTCGATTTGGGCTGAATTTTTATGTGTCAACAATTACCCCCCAATATGGCAGAATTAATAACAATTATTAAATTTTGCCATATTCACTTTGTGTTTCCAGCAACATTCGAAATTCTCAAGAATTTCAATCATTATTTTCTTCCATAGCTTGAAAAGGTGCGACGTTTTGCAAACCCTTATAACCCCCAAACACGTCATTTCACTGCACCATTAAATCACGCCTCACTTTTTCGCGTTTCTCTCCCACGATTTACTGTTCATCTTTTGCTTCCCTTCTACGTAACTCTGAAAAAACTTTGTTCCATCCCTAATGGCTACTTCACAATCTCAAGCTGGCGACTCCTTTAGTTTTGATGACTTTCAGAAACTTCTGAGTCGTCCATACATAACTCCGAGCTTTCTCGCGCCCGCCAATGTCAAACTCAATGAGTTCTACCTAGGTCCTTTCTTCAACAATGTAGAGGCAGTCGAACAGGCGGCGGCGGGCTAGCTATTTCCTTGTACTCAAGGCCCTCCATTTTTAAACTCTCTGCCGCTGGGGCCACTTCGCGAAAGAGGTATTCGCATTTGGCCTAAATTTGATGTAGTTTTCCGTAGGTGGTATGCTAGTCTTGTGGGCCATGGTCCTACTAAGGCACTTTTTGATAATGTTAGGATTTCTGATTTGTTAGAAATCTCTATTCAATCCCCTACTTTTGATTCAGCACTTTTTTCAATCGCTTTGAGTTTTTGGTCTTTTGAGTATAATACCTTTGTTTTCCCTCTTGGACCCATGTCTATTACTTTAAGGGATGTTGGGCCCTAGTAAATCTACTACCTTTGGGCGATACCATTTTTCCTGGTATCTTGGTTTCTGGTAGCGCCCCAAAGTTTGGTAAAAACTACACCTAGTCTTATTCAAGCCTGCAAGCCCTTCATAACCATTCGAGCGCTGGGCCTTTCCATACTGAGCGAATGGCCTTTCTTCTGGTTTGGCTTTGTAAATATGTTTTCTCTGTGCCAAGTATAAAGCCCTCCCTGAATTATTTACCCATAGCGCACGAATTGGCGCGTGACAGGCTTTTGAATTTATGTTCTTTCTTTTTGGCTGCCCTATATAGAGGCATGTCTTCTCTTCAAACTCAATTGAAGAATGGTGCATCTCCCACTGGTAGTGGACCTTTTTGGTTCACTCAACTGTGGTTGAGATCCTATTTTCCATTGCTTGGTGCTCCATCAATTTCTCGTTCTTCTGCTAGCTGCTATGGGCTAGCCATTGAGCCCTTGGCTCCTGTAAATACGTCTAGAAGGGATATTTTTTCATTCTTTTATTCTTTGGATTCAATCCCTTTCTTCTTTCCTTTTCCTCCTTTTTTGACTCCAAACTATGTGCATCCTCCCTCCACTATAGACAGCGCGAGTACCTCTCTGCTCATTTGGATCCAGTTTTTAACTGGGAGGGAGTTATTTTATGATATTTTAATTGGTACCAATGCCAAGGCAAGGGTAGAAATATATGCTCCCCAATTTTTTGCTCGCCGACTTGGTTTCCGCCAAACTTGGCCTGTTCCTCCTTGCTATTTAAGGAACTTGATTGACCGCTTCCATATTATTAATAAGGTGGAGGCAGAGGCTATAAATGCTCGCAATCTTCTTTTAACAAGCTATTTTTCATTAGCCCCTTTCAATTCTAGCCATGCCATCCATCCCCTTTTTGAACAGCTCTGGCCGTCAGTGAAGCGCAGATTGTTTGCGACTGACGCCAATCGTGCCTTTCATTCACTAGACCAGCCGAGCATTTCTTCTCCTCCTCCTGTTTTAGTCACTCCTTTGTCCATCCGGAGTCCTTCTCCTCCTTGTCGCTCTAAACAGTCTGCTCGTCCATCTTCTTCTCTCCCTGCCAAGCCTACTGCAGCCAAGAGTGCCCCAAGCCGCAAACGTCCAGCCTCAGCATCTCCCATTCTGGAGAATGATGTTGATAATTATGATGACACCCCTCTTATCATCAGGAGGAAGGTAATTAAATTAATTTACTCACAAGCATACTTTTCCATACTTGAAACTTTTCTGTGTGCTGATAATTTATTTGGACTTCTCAGAAAAGTTTAGCCTCTCCTTTAACTCCTGCTCCATCATCCTCCGCTGAGGCTGCTTCATCCAAACCAGCTGATGAAGGGACTACGCTTAAAGAGACATCTTCAGTCCCAGAATCCTCATCACAACCAATGGATGAGCCACCTTCTTCCGAGGGCGTCACCCCCCGAACATCGAAGCAAAAGGTAATTCAGTTTTTTGATGCTTTACCTTTGCTTGTGCTATGGGTTTCTGATTTGTTGCTTTTGAGTTTTGCAGATACTCCTATGAGTCTGCCCGTTGTGGCAACATCTTCTCGCTCAGATAAGGGGAAGTCCTTACGAATGGTGGAGTCAGAGGTGGCAGACTTGGCCGAGGATATGCCATCTTCCACGATTATTGATGAGGTGGTCTTTGTTTCACTTTTATTTCCATCTTGTTCGTTGTAGTGAGAATCTTCAATATTGACAATTTTCTTTGTAGGATGCTGACAAGATTGTGCGTTCCATCCAAGACTTGTTCGCTTCTTGGGGGCAAGTTAAGACATCTCGCCCTGCTCCATCTGGTCGTCTTGCTGCTTCTTCAGAGGAAGATTTGAAGTTCCTTAAGCAGTCGATATTTGAGTACGTGTCCTTCACGGATATGGACATTGGTAAGGCTAGTGCTGCCAGACACAAGGATAAGCTTGAG